TCACACCTGCCCGCAGCCTCCTCACACCTGCCCGCAGCCTCCTCGCACCTGCCCGCAGCCTCCTCACACCTGCCCACAGCCTCGCACACCTGCCCACAGCCTCACACCTGCCCACAGCCTCACACCTGCCCACAGCCTCCTCACACCTGCCCACAGCCTCCTCACACCTGCCCACAGCCTCGCACACAAGACATCCTTGCAGATACCACGAGTCACTGAGCCGTGCCATGGTGAGCTGGAAGTGCACATACACAACACCCCTGCTTCTTCCCGCTCCCCTCCTCTACTCATCCCTCCCCACCACCCCTAAGAAATAAATGCTCCTAGAAACTGAGCGAGAAGCACCTGGTTTCAGGAAGGGTCTCAAATCCCCGGCGGAGCCCTGCACTCCCAAACACGGCCACTGGGTGGCACTCACACCCGACCGTGCGGGCGGGTTCCCACCGGGTTCCCGTGCCGTGCCATGCCTGGCTGGAGCCGGGATGCCGCTAGGGCTACGGAGTTTGGATCCCTGATGATTTTGAACTGAGAGATGAGACGGAAACAGGGTACGTTGCTTTCCCTTTAAACGCACCTGCATTGCTCCTGCAGGACCACGTTCCGCGATGGCTGTGGACGGCGGGGCAGCCACGCTGAGACCGCCGTGCCTGCAACTGACACGCTGGAACGCGAAATCATGGGACAAAACCAGAGGGAACTAGTCATGAGCACATTTTGTACTAATTACATGGGGAAATGATAGCATTCTGGTGACACTGGATTAATAAGCACATTATTAACATGAATGTCACCTGCTTCCTTTTGCTTTTTAAATTTGGCTGGACTAGACTTTTTTGGGGTTTTTTTTGGTTTTTTGAGACAGAGTCTCACTCTATTGCCCAGGCTAGAGTGAGTGCCGTGGCATCAGCCTGGCTCACAGCAACCTCAAACTCCTGGGCTCAAGCGATCCTCCTGCCTCAACCTCCCAAGTAGCTGGGACTACAGGCATGCGTCACCATGCCCGGCTAACATTTTCTATATATTTTTAGTTGGCCAATTAATTTCTTTCTATATTTAGTAGAGACAGGGTCTCGCTCTTGCTCAGGCTGGTTTCCAACTCCTGACCTTGAACGAGCCTCCCACCTCAGCCTCCCTGTGCTAGGATTACAGGCGTGAGCCACCACGCCCCGCCTGTACATTTTAAATCATAGGGTTGTACCACAGACCAGGTAATTCATAAAGAAAGAAAAAAATAACAAAAAAATAAAGAAAAATAAATAAAGAAAAATATTTTAAAAAATAAAGTAAAGTAAATCATAGCCCTGGCTGGACTTAATTCTGTTGGACATGATGACCTTGGGCCTCAGCAGGGAACTGGGGTTTGAGGGGCGCAGCCAGACGGGAGCTGGAGCCCTCGGGGTGGAGGCTGCCCCTGGCACTGGCCTGGGTGCCCCCCTGCACGCGCTCCCAGGCAGTCGGACTCCACGCAGTGCCGGCCTTGGAGAGGGCTTGTTCCCGGGTGGGAGACGGGAGCTCTGGCCACGGACGAAGAAGTCGCGGCGTGTCCCTCCCCACCCAGAGCGAGTCACAGGCCGGCCCAGACACAGGGGAGTGGGCAAAATCCATCCTCCCACAGGCAGACGGCAAAGGAGCCGCTGGCAGGGTTGTGTCCGGCGCTGCCTTCCGGGGACCAACCCAGCGGCCACCTCCTGCCCCTCGCCTGGCCTTCCACCTGCAGACCGTCCTCGGCTGCCAGCGGGTCACTCCCCACGTCCTCAACCCCAAACCCCGGAGCTGGCAGTGCCCACGACCGTTCTAGAACACGGGACACGGAACAAGCTCTGAGCCTGTGGGGCGAATGAACGCACGCCTGAGATTGCTTTCTTCCAGGTTTCTTCTTCAACACACACACTTTACGAGTTTCCAGAGGAGGAGATGAAAGAAGGCGCCGCGTGGATCCCGTGTCTGCAGAAAAGCTCCAACAGTCGCGCGAGGACACAGACCAAGAACGGGGAACTTGCACAGCCAGAGCGACGGAGCGTCTGACCACAGGGGTGGAGTCGCGGGTGGGGGGATCTCGTCCCCTTCCCCCTTCCCCCTGACTTGCTCCCTGGGTGGGTCACCCGGCAGGGGGCCCAGTCACTGCAGTGGATGAGGAGGTCACCAAAGTACGTCCTTCTTTCTAGCCATGTCATCCTTCGCTTACGAGAATTTGGAGGGGCCACTAAGGTCGTGTCAAAGCCAGTTTGGACGCGGCACGTCCCACGGGGCATGCAGCCACAGGCGATCGTGTCAGCGTGTCTCCCCTGCCCGGCAGGCCGCGTTGCAGGGGGCAGCGCCGTGGCTGGCCGGAAGCCCCGGGTCCTACCCGAGACCCGGCTGCAGGGCTGCGAGCCGAGTCACAGCCCACATCTCCGCTGCCGTTCGCTCAGTGCCCACGAGAACCCGCTGAGCATCGGGGCCTGAGCCGGCCCTCAGCCCTGCGGAAGGGGGTGAGGTCGTTGCTCGAGGGTGCAGCCGCCACAGAGGCGCGAGGACAGTGGACGGCAGGAAGCGGCGCCCACAGGAAGCAGTTGCAGGAGCCTCACTCTTGCCGTGGCTCCCGGACCCTCCCCACGCGGGGGGAGGCGATGGCGCCTGCTTCTGAGCAGAGCCGGGCGAGTTCCAGAGTGAGTTCTCGCCAGCATGTACTGGAATCTCCTCGGTCCCGTGTGAAGGGCTGAGTCTTTGTCCCCGAGAAGCCAGGCCGCCCTGCACTGCCTGCTCGACAGGGCCCCAGGTGTGACCGGCCAGGTGTGCTCGCTCATGGCACTTTGAGAACGTCAGCCCTGCCCGTGGGGATGCAGGAGCGTCGAGGCAACCCTACCGGTGCTGCTGGCTCACGACACCGCGCACAGCCCTGTCCTGATCGCGGTGACGGGGACACCGGTCGTGTCTGGAGACCTATTCGGCTGCCACGACAGGGGAGGGGTGTGGAGAGTGTCGCGGAAGGAACAGAGACCGGGAGGCGGCCAAGCACCCTGCAGCCCCTGCTGCAGGGCACTCGCAGGTGCCAGTGGCGTGGAGGAGGCAGAGGCCTGGCCCGGCTCTACCTGTGATTAGCACGTTGCATCCATGTGCCCACCGAGGCAGGCGCTAGGAGCAGCCTCAGTTTCCCAGTCCAGGACGATGAGAAGCAGAGACTTTATTTAGCCTCTGGGTCACACCGCTGCTGGGAGTCACAGCCACAGGAGTCACCGACCCAGCACGGCGGCGGTGACACAGGCAGGCGGGAGGGGCGGAGGCAGACGTGCAGGTGGTCACCTAATTACAGCCCAGGTGGGAATGACTCCCTCAGGCTGGCAGCGGCTGGCGGCGGCTGGCGGCGGCTGGCGGCCTGAGACCAGGCTCTGTCTCCCCTCTGGGCACCGAAGTGGCCAAACTTCTATTCATTAACAACCTGGACGAAGACTTGGCAGCAAAGTTAATGAAGTTTTCAAACCAAACCAAGCTTGGCGAGACACGCGAAATAGGCTATGACCGATAAGGCAGAGATGTCCAGGGCCAAACCGATTCCTCCCGGGCGGTGGAGGAGCCCGGGTCCTGCTGAAGCCCCACAGGCATGCAGGTCGCTGGCCCTGCACCCGGGCTCTGCCTCAGCCTGCCTGGGCTGGTGGCTGGACGGGCACTGCCTCCAGGACAGCCTGGGTGCCAGGGAGGCCAGTGGGCGCTTTGGCACCTTGAGGCCAATGTACCTGCAGGGCCCACAGGGACCTTCGGGCTGCCGGAGTCTTCTGGTGGTTTCTGTTGCCGCCAGGGCGACCCTGGTGTTTGCCTTCACCCTGCCGCCTTCCTGGGCCCGATGGGGAAGGGTGAGCATCTTCCTCCCAGGACAGGCCCAGAACCTGTGGCACCTGGGGTCCACTCTCTGCCTGGTGGTCCCTCCGGGGAAGTGCGGCCAGTGTCCTGGGTCCGAGTCCATGTGGACATCCCTCCCCCCCACCCTGTGCCGGGGAAGCCCTGAAAGCTTCAGGCAGGGCACCCTCTGCTCCCCACACCCCGGCACCCCACCTGCCCACCCCCCGGCACCCCCACCTCGCCCCCCGGCACCACCCTGCCCCGGTACACCCCATCTACCCCCGGCCTCCGCCTGTCCGCACCCCTCCTACCCCCAGGCACCACCACCTACCCCCTGGCACCCCGCTATCCCCCGCACCTCCTACCCCGCGGCACCCCCTGCCCAGCGTGCCGTGCACTTCTTCCCCTGTGGGCTCCAGGCCCGAATCCCAGGGCTGCCGGCACCGGGTGTCCTCCCGCCCTGCCCTGGGTCGCCTCACTGTCCCCAGTAAGTGGGAGGCAGGCGCCAGGCTCCACGGACTCCAGTGGCCCCTCCTTAAGGTCACCGTCTCCTTCCTGCTCTCACCGGCTGTCCCCAAAGTGGCGCTGGGACTCGTGTGACCGGCGCTCGATGTGAGAGAGGCCGTGGACTCCTCACCTTACAGCAAACCCCGGCTTCATCAGGTGATTTCCTCGTAGGTGAGCGCGTCCAGCCTGCTCCTCCTCGGGAAAACTGCCCAAGCTGAAGGTCTCCTAGCCAAGGAACCAGTTTCTTCTTCCGGCACCTTCCCCGCTCGTTGTCGTTGGGCAGAAGGCTGCCCGTGCTCAGGGCTGGCTGGGCAGACGGCAGGTGGCACCCGCACAGATTAAGTGCCTAGGACGCGGGTCTGGCCCTATAATCCTCCTCCACTCCCAGAACCTTCCTTTCCCTGGTGCCCACAGACTTCCCGCTCCAGGTTAGACCCTTCCATTTGGCCGATTTTGCATTCAATGTGATTTTTAAAGCGATCATCACCCAAAACAGTGTTTCAGGTAAATCCTTAAGATACAGATTAGGGCAGAGTCATTATACTGGTTTTTGCCTTTAAGACACAAAGCTCGGTTGCAGGGGCCTGGCCCCAGGCGTTGGGGGCCTGGGCAGGGCAGGGACTGTCTACCTGAGCACATCTGGTACCTGTAAGGGCCAAGGAGGTCAGGAACTCTGGGGACACAGCAAGACAGCTGTGGGAGGGGCACCAGGAGACCCTATCTCTGATTTGAAAGATAATCTCTGATTTAAAAGCAGCAGCAGTGGAAACCCCTAAAGGGCTCTCTGGGCAGACCAGGTAGGGAGGTTCTGGGAGTCTAGGTAAGAGCAGGACTGAGCAGGTGGTGGTGGGAGGAGGTTGTGGCACCTGCTGGGCTTGCTCTGAGTTTACGGAGATGACCCTGGGGTCGCAGGCCCAGAGAAGAGCAGCAGCAGGGAAAGTTGGGGGGCAGGAGGCAGGAGATAGAACATTAGGGGGTCACCATCCTCACTTCTGCCTGGCGTGGCAGCTCTGAGGGTCCCTATGACCTGTCATAGGATCCCACCAGGGGAGCCCGTGGGCCCCGGACAACCCCACAGGGGAGGACTATACCCCACCACGGGGCCACACAGCTGTCACCCTCCCATGTCACCTCCAGGGCGGACGGGGATGGGTGCTGAGAACACAAAGGGACACAGTCACTGGAGTTTATGGCCGGCGTGGAGACCAGGCAGCGGTGGAGGATGACAGCAGGGATCAGCAGGCTGGGAGCACTGCCTGGGAGATTGGGGTCAGCGGGCAGAGTGGGGCCGGGGAGGTGGCACCGTGCCCCGTGTTTCAGGTGACGACCTCACCACAAGACAGGGACGTGACGTGCTGGCTGTCCGGGTTCCTGAGAGCTGACCCACGGAGAAAAGCCTTGTTGGGTGCAGACGTCCTGAAGGTTTGTTGCACTCAGCACTCTCAGTTAATAAAGTGGCTGTGCAAGCGTCATGCTGAGGAGGTCAAGTTCAGGTCTGAGCCCCGCGGTGCCCAAGGAAGGGGGTCCAGGACGGCGGGCGGCTCGGCTCTTGCGCTGGGGGCTGCCGCCAGCTCCCCTGGGGAAGGGCACGGACCTGGGGGAGAACCGGGGAAAGCGGGGCAGGAAGGGGACCTGCTTGCTGGGTTTGCCTCCGCCCCGCCCCACAGGGAAGTCACCTGTCACCTGCCACCTGCCACCTGCCCTGCTGGAGACAAACAAAAGTCACGTGGAGGAAACTCTGCTGCAGCTGCTGCTGCTGCTGTTGTTTCGAAGCAGAAAAGACTTTTAAAGTCGTGGTTGTTGGAAATCACGTGTTTTTGTTTTGTCTCCAAACATCTGGGAGAGAAAGGATATGTCAGGGATGAAAATCATTCTCTGAAAAAAAAATGGCTTCACAAGGACAATCTTACGGCTTCTATTAACATAATCAGACCAGACCACGCCGCCCACAGCACGCCCCGCCCTCCCCGGCAGCTGCGCTCAGCACTCCAGCATAAACGTTCTCTCAGTCATTCTGCCCCTCAGCGTCCGCAGGTGCGGGGAGACGTCGCCTGGGCTGTTTCCGCATCCCAGCTCTCACCTGAGCCTCTTAACGGGGCTCCCAGCTCCGGGACCGGCCTCTCCGGGGCGCCCTCCCTGCCCAGCGCTGCCTTCCTAATCCCGGCGTGTCCTCCATTCCCGTCCCCGGGCCTCGTGGGCGCCAGGCACTGGGGCTTCCTGGCAGATTGGGGCTGTAGGCTGGCCGGGTTGGGGTGGAGTGGGCAGGAGGGAGGAGCAGGTGCATTGTTGGGGGGAGGGAGGAGGCTCAGGGCAAGGGGGATTGGGGTACTGCCCGGCTACTGGTGGCTTGGGGCAGGGCAGACAGTTTCCAAAAGCCTGGGCCTGCGGCAGGCTAAGCTCAAAGGCCTGGAGGCGGGAGCTGGCGTGCTGGGACTCCTCAGCTGATGCCTGCAGACGCCGCCCCACGGCGCCACGCCCACGCACGGATTCCAAACCCCTGAGCCCTGCAGGAGAGCCCGGCTTTCATCACTTCCTGGCTCCTGGCCCGGAGCACACACCTGCTCCTCCCCGGCCCGGGGCTCCTGTAGAAAGTCCTTACCTGGTCCCTGGGACTCCTTCCCTGAGCCCTGCCCCCCACTCGTCACCTCCATGTGCAGGCAGGACATCGTGGGGAGCCCCAGCTGAGGAAAGAGCAAGGACAACGGAGAGAGGGAGAGATGGAGCTGCCCGCAGCCCACTCACCAGGTGCCCAGAGCTGCTGGAATCCGAGAGGCAGGGGACAGGGACAAGAACCCAGGGGAGGGGACGACCCCCCACTTGGAAGTACCACAGAGCCACCTCGGCAGCACGCAGAGCTGGGGGTGTCCATTTCTCCCCCAAATTTTATTTAAACATTAAATTTAAAAACACTCATTGATTAGGCCGGGCGAGGTGGCTCACGCCTGTAATCCTAGCACTCTGGGAGGCCGATGCAGGCGGATTGCTCGAGGTCAGGAGTTTGAGACCAGCCTGAGCAAGGGCGAGACCCCGTCTCTACTAAAAAATAGAAAGAAATGAGGTGTACAACTAAAAATATATAGAAAAAAATTAGCCGGGCATGGTGGTGCATGCCTGTAGTCCTAGCTACTCGGGAGGCTGAGGCAGGAGGATTGCTTGAGCCAGGGAGTTTGAGGCTGCTGTGAACTAGGCTGACACCACCGCACTCTAGCCCCAGATTGAGACTTTGTCTCAGAAAAAAACAACACAAAACAAAACAAAAACCACTCATTGATTAATAATTCAGGTACGGTAAAAAAGAAAAAAAAAAAGCACTGCATCTTAAGCAGATCACGTTGGACCTTTAGGCTGTGGGACAGCCGTCTGCAGAACAGCAACATCAGGAAATCCACAAAACACACAGGGAAAACCAGGAGAGAAACACGACACAGAAGCACGTTTGGCCGTCCTCTGAGAGGGGCACAGCAACCAGAGGAGAACAAAGTGCCCTGAAGGCGCACGGCAGGTCCCCACCTAGAGGAGGAAACCCGCACTGGTCAGGACGGGGTGGGGGCCGGGGGTCCTTCCGGCTGTGCCCTCACACGCTGCCCCGGCTCCCTCTGCTCTCTGGGGCCCCCAGGGAGAAGCTTCGCCCCTGCTCCGGGTATGGCCCTGCGCCCTCCCCTCCTGGCTTGTCCAGACCTGCCCACGTCTGCCGCCCTTCCCAGGACACTGCAGCCCCAAGCGACAAAACCTTATTTTAAAGAACAGTAACCTATTTGAAGAGCACCCGAGTGACAACGGCACTGACAAGCCTGAAGTCAACAAGCAATGCTGCCGAGGAAGGGCAGAGACCCGCCGCGCATTCCAGGCTTTCCAAGGGCGTGGTTTTTCTGGCTGCCCAGGGATGACAGCTGGCACACGTGTCCGGCTCTCTTTCTGGGGTGTCTGGCCCTTCCCTCTGGCCCCAGCCCCACCTGGAGTGGGGACCACCGCCTTCCCCGGGGCTTGGGTGACCAGACACACGCTCGGGCCATTGACAGCCCCCCCCACCTGCCCCGGGACCAGGATGAGCAGGAAGCGCCGGCATCAGAGACTTGGAGGGGCCCGCACCTGGCTGGCTCTGTCCCCCCGTCCCACGGCCCCCATGAGGCCATGCAGTCTGACAGACTGCAGGTGTGTCTGTCCCGCCAGGCCCAGGGAGGCGCGTGCCGGGGAGGGGGAGACTGAGGCATAGGGTTACCAGCAGGCTCCCCCGGCCCCGGAGCCCAGACCCTGTGGCCCTGCACTGTTCCTCAGCGTCATGGGGGGGGGCGTGGGGGTTGGGGTCTCTGCAGGACCCCAGGACCAGGCTCTGCAGCAGGGACGCACCTTCACAGTCACAGGGGTGCCCAGGGCCTCTCCACCCCGGAGGCACTGGGGCAGGACGCTGGGCAGGACGGGGAGACACTGGCGCTTGCCGGGCAGCTGCTCGGGGCCACCCTGTCCCAGCACAGCTCATTCTGCCTGTGCTGGGCCGCCCCCGTCCTGTGATGGGCCCCAGAGGCTCGGCGTGTGTAGCTGTGGAATGGGGTGAGGGTCGTGCCGCGGTCTCACAGCTCTGAGAGCAGAATTCTCATCTTAACACGTCCGCGTCCATGCCCCACACGGCTCCTTCCTACCCGGGCGGTTCCTTCTACCGTGGCCCGTCGTCCCCAGGGGTGACGGCAGTGTCAACGTAAACCTGGAGTTTCATGGTGGGCCCTCCGCTGGCACTGTCCCAGGGCTGCTGGGAAAGAGCGTCACAAACGGAACAGCCCGAACCACAGAAACTCACTGTCTCGCAGGCTGGATGCCCAAGGTCGCGGTGGCGGCAGGGCCGGTGCCCTCCGAGGGGGAGGGAGGGGACAGGTCTCCGTCTCCACGAGGCGTGCTCCCCGTCCCTGGTGGCCGACTTCTCACAAGGTCACCATCGGCTGAGCGCCCTCCCGACAACGGCTCCCCTCTGCGCAGGCCTTATCTTCAACACGGCCGCGCTCCGCGGCCCCGGGAGTCTGGACTTCCACATGTGAGTGGGGGCAGGGGCCACGGCAGCCCCAACGGCACTTGCCCCACAGCTGTGTCTCTGCGTGTAGTGGTTTTGTTGTGGTTGTTAATGAAAGCATCATCGCATGTGTTCGGAAAGCCTCTCTCCGGGGCCAGGCCTTGGGCAGAATCCTTCAGAAACGGAACCGGCCCACCCAGGGCTCCCTCCGTCTTCGGCGAGGACGAGCCTGGTGCCGCATGGGTTCTGGGTCGGTCTTGCCGTCTTCTCCCCTTTGCGTGGCCCCAAAGCTCAGTTCCTGCAAAGGCCCCGGCATGGCGGCCATGGTGGGAGTGGCGAGGGGACGGGGAGCCCCCTTTCTGCGACAGTACCCTCATCCTCCCCGAGTGCTCGCCGGAGTTTCCAGGGACTTCCAGCTCCAGGAGCCCCAGACGGGCAGCCCCCGGGGCCTGGGCGAGGTCTGTTTTATTGCCCATACTCACCACGGTTATCAGTGGTGGGTCAACGCTCATGTTCCCATTTAACAGGTGCATAAACCGAGGCCAGAGGAAGTGACTGGGCTGAGCCCACACGCAGTTTAAGGGGAAAGCCAGGATTAGAGCTGACGGCTGCTGTGTTCTTGGTCACGCAGACGGGAAAGCTTCGCGAGGGAGGGAGAGGGTGAGGAGGTGACAGGCCGATTCCTCCCGCACGGGCCTGTCAGGGTTGATTTTACGAGACGGAGCCATCCTGGTTCTTTGGCTGCCGGCTTAGAAGAATCAGGAGCGGGGCCGGTGGGGCAGATGGAGCAATGACAGACCCTTAGCATGTCCACACGAGCACCGCACTGCCGGCTACAGCACACAGTCGAAGGGGGAAGTGGGTCTGTCTCCGCGAGTGTAGACACACTTCCGCCTCTGCGTCTACACCCTAAGACAAGCTAACTGGCGGGCAGGACATGCGTAATTTCTCTGTGGAAAGGGTGGAGAGTGCCTAGACCTACGGGCCCTCCTCCTGAAAGCGTGCAAGAAAAGAAGCCGTTGTGTCTATGAAAACTAACTTAACCACTTTGGAAAGATTCAATAAAGACCAAGTCTCAAAAAAAAACAAACAAACAAACAAACAAAAACAGCTATTGTGTTGAGCGTGAGCGAGACGCATGTAAAAGATAGAAAATCATGAAAATCGGGAAAGACTCCATCCTAACATTGTCTTTAGCTCTCAGTCTGCCCTGTCTTCCAAACGTTTCTTACTGAGGCACAAAAAACGCAAAACCAGTCTTCATTATACAACTTGACAACTCTGATCCTGCTCGCACGTGGCTCAGGCTGGAGAACATTCCGGCACCTCAGAGAGCTCCCCAGGGCCCCCAAGGCCGTAATCATCATCCGCGCTCCTCCCAGAGTGGTCTCAAACCAGAGAGATGCAGCCGGAAACGCCAGGCCACGATCGCGGCCGGTTTACCCCGGAAGGGGCAGGAGGCCCGGCCACGGGGAACTGGGAAGCCGGAAGGCTCCGGGTGGGGGGGTCCCCGGCTGCGGCCAGGGAGCCAGGCTCACCCTGCAGAGCCCTGTCGCAGCCAGGGGACGGGGCTTGGTGCTGCCGTGAGGAGCGCTCGGGGCAGCCCCGGCAGGTGTGGAGGGACAGGGTCAGTTCCTGGAGGGGACACTGTGCACGGCAGCACGCGCAGTCAGGGGCAGGAGGAGCATTCCAGAAGAAAGGAGTGGCTGCCCAAAGGCACAGAGGCACGGAGGAGCGTGGCCCAGTGGCCCCCATCGGGCCCCACACCTGTGAGGACCCCGCGTCACCATCTGTCCCAGGAGTCAGTGAAACCGCTGTCCGCAGAGCAGCCGGAGTCCCTGGGCCTGCTTGCCGGGCTCTGCCCACGTCCTGGGGGTGACGGCTCCGCTCACGCCCCGCCCCTGTCACCCTTGCCCTGCCCGTTCCTTGGGCACATCCGAGAGCCCCTGGGAACAGCCCCCCGACTCCTCCATTTCAGTAAGAAGAGCCCTGGTGCTTCCGGGAACTTCTCCCACCCCTATCCAACCCCTCTGCCCCGGGTAATGTCGGCACAGGTGCCTGACATTATCAGCAACCCACCTCCACTCTAAAAGATGACCTGAACTGGGGGAAGTCTTCAAGTGTGGGGGTCACGGGCTTGTTTCAGAATCTAACGGCTATTGTTGTGCTGCCTACACAGAAAAACGAATGCAAGAGCCACAGTTTGCATGAAAATTTGGGATTTGGGGAGCCTCTGGCAGGCCTTCCGTAGCCCTGAAGAGCCTCCAGCCCCTCGGCCTTGGGGGTGTTTACCAAGCAGGGCGCCCATTGAGTCCCAAACCCAAAGGCAAGTCTCCCGGTGAGAAAATCTGGGGAAAGGGTATCGTCGGGGGGAATGAAATGTCCTAACCTGCTGAACCATAGAAGGCATGTGCATGGGGCGGGGGCACCCAGAGAAGATCCACGGGGCCCGTGGGGACAAGGCCCCAGGCCCCTCCAAAGCACATTCTTGGATTTCGTGCCACGTGGCCTTCGAATCGCTCCCCTCAAAGGGCATCTTTGAAACGCCCTCCCAAGGGGTTAAGAAAGCATCGTATTAAACCATCTCTGCCTTTTGCCTTTCTATTGTTTTTAAACTTTTTTCTAAAGCCGATATGAATTTTGTTTAACCACTTCGGTCCGGCGCCCACTGGCCTCGAAACCTCGCCCCGGCCGGCCCTCGCAGTCCGCACGGTAGTCTGTGCTACGCACTGACGACGAGTCCGTTCTGCTCCTGTGTGATG